AAAAAAAAAAAAAAACCAACAAGAAGAAGACGAAGAAGAAGAATAAGAAGTATTACGGTCAATCGTATTATACCTGGAATAATATATTCGTCTCAACTTTCTAGTCGTTTATCGAAAGACAATTGTTCGTTGTTTTCTACCATCATCGAAGAGGAATGATCAGTCACCATTTTCCACAACTGGACATTCTGTCCAACTTTTAGTTATTGTTGTTGTTGTTGTTGTTGTTGTTACTAAGTTGAACGGTATTTTTCGTTCGTGCGCGTCAAACCTAATGCCAGTCATTCGTGAAACGTATTACCGAGGCGAAAGTTGTACGTACCTCTTTGTACTTGTGCGGCCGAATACTACTAGCCTATTCTAAAAAGAGAGAGGAAAGGAAAGAAAAGAGAGAGAGAGAGAGAGAGTAGATTCGTTTTAATAAGAAATTTTCTACTCGGATGTCAGAAGTCAGTTCGATCGTGTCCTACGAGTGATCCAGATCGATCATGGAAGTATTACAGTGTTTTATGTGAGGTGTCCTTGCACTTACTCAGTGCTCTGTACTTTTTTCTATAAAGCAATAAGAACTTCATCATCATCATCATCATCTTTCATTTTGGCATGTTTTTGGAGAATAATACAAACTTTTAAAAGAACTATTATCGCTTGTTTTATGCCAAATTCGTGCATCATCATTCTCACCCTGGCTTAGTTTTCTATCCACTTTTTGACAAGGTCAGTTATACATTTTCATATATATGTGTATGTATTATATGGATAGATAAAAAGTTTGTGAATATACGAAGAAATATCGTAAATGTTTCGATGTTTCTTATTCATCTTTTGAAAGATTAATATCAAATAGTAAATCGATAATTTGATTCGAATAATCATTTGAAAATATTTTATGATTAAAAATGATTGTAGTATTGTTTTTCTATTAACACATTCGCGGTTGGCATATTTTTTTCGATTCTTTTACTAAGTAACGGCAAAAATAATGAAATTTTGAAAAAAAACAATAATTTGTACATATATTCTAGAAATCTAAATATATAAATATAAGTTTAAATTATATTTAAATTTATATTTAAATAAAAAAATATAGTAATATAATAAAATATAATTATTTGAATTTTATATTTAAATATTTTATGTTATATTATATATATTAAAATAATATAATAATATATAACATTTAAATCTATAATATATATTATATTATAGTATATAATATTTAAATATTATATATTTATTATATATTATATAATTATTTGAATTTTATATTTAAATATTTTATGTTATATATATATATATTAAAATAATATAACAATATATAATTATATTATAGTATTTAATATTTAAATGTTATATTTAAATAATTAAATAGAAATTTTATATATTTAATATTATTAAAGTAATAATAAAATAATAATTATGAAATAATATAAATTTATATAATTTAATGTATAATACATAAATATTAATTTTTATTAAATTTTTAAAATATAAAATGACGTGAATCAAGTCAGTGGTAACCAAGAATAGAACTTGAAAAGACGTAAATTCACGTCAGCAGTTGCGAATGTCTTAATCAAAATAATTCTATTAGTTTAAATCTATTTTTATATTATATGATTATCGTATTAAATAATAATAGATAAACGTTTGTTTTTTTTTTTTTTTTTTTTTAATAATAATCTTTGATGGGAATTTGCTCGAGTTTACGGTCGATTTCGATTTGTCGAAAGTGAAATCGTATTAAAAAAAAAGTATACGAAAAAATAAAAAAAAACCAAGTTTGTCACGTATTTTCACGTTGTTAATGCACCAAAGCAAAATGAATTTGGTTTTTATTTTCAATAAAAAAAAACCCCTTCTTTCTCGTTAAATTCTTCACGATATTATTTACTTAAAGCTAACCATTTAAATGTTCGAGATCGTTAAGTTCACATAGTACTAAAAGTGTTGGTAATGATTGTAGTATTCATTAAAAAAATATGAGAATACGCGTGTGAGTGTGTGTTTGTATGCGTGTAGATAGTTAATTTGACTTCTTACAAATCTAGATTATTTCACCAGTGAAAGTTCTTTCATTTCGGTTAAAAAACTTTTTCGTGATATTTATCTCTGATACTTTCTGTCACATGTTCTCTTTAAAAAAAAAAAAAAAAAAAAAAAAAAACAATAGAAAGAAAATAAAAAAGAATTTTGTAGCTACGAGTCATTTAATATAAAAACACTGTAGCAATTAAAATTAAATATTATTAAATTTCTAATTAAAACATTAATAAACTATAAATTATTAATTATTATTTTATATAATACCCTAGTAGCACAAAATATTGAAAAATATTGAATACCTACATGTGTATTTAATATTAAAAAGATATTAAATCTCTTTTTTGTATTTAATAAACATTTATTTAATAATTTTCAATATTTTGTGCTACTAGGATATTATATAAAATAATAATTAATAATTATTAGTTTATTAATTATTAATTATTACATGTGTATTTAATATTAAAAATACATTAAATCTTTTTTTTTTGTATTTAATAATATTTGTATTCAATAATTTTTAATATTTTGTGCTACTAGGATAGTTTAATAATTATACTACAATATTACTAATAATTAATAATAATTATTAATATATAAAATAATTAAAATAATTATATTTGTTATTAATTATATTCGTACACATTTAAAATAGATTATATTTAATAAAAGTTAATCTAATATAAAACTTAGTAGTTGACACAACGAAAAATAAATAATAATAATATTACATTTGAAACATATAAATAAGTAATTAATATATAATAATTATTATTTAAATATCGTCTTATAAATTTGAAATGAGATGAATTGAGATGCTCAACACGTTTGTTACATTAATTTTCTGATTTTAATTTTGTTTTATCTCTTACATTACGACTTCTTACTTCCTGTACGATAAAAATCTTAATTTACGTAATTCGATTCCCTTATTCTCCCTTTCTTCCTTCCCTTCTCCCTTTCTCATCGTGTTTTTCTTTTCTTTTTTTACAAGAACCACATAGCGAAAGAATCGAGAGGAATAAAATGCTTTTTTTATGAGGGCAGAAACCCGTAAGGAAAATAAATAAGTATACCTGAGTGAATGATTGAGTAAGTGAGTGAGTGAGTGAGTGAGTAAGTGTACGAGTGAGCGTGAAAAACCCCATAGAAAATGTAACGTCACGCTTGTGATTTACACTTATGTTCAAAATCTTTACTCACACACGTATAATACACATGTTTGAACGAATAATTTTTTTTTTTCTAGGGATGTTCGAAAGAACGAGTTGAGGAAGTACGTGGTGCAGTGGTGAGAGAAAATGACAAAGATGTTTTCAAGAAAAGGAAGAAAAACAACAACAATTATTTGGTTCAATGTATCATCAACGTGGATCTTATTACTATCGTTGGTCCTCGTTGTAAGATTCGACCACGTGGCAGGTAGGCGTATGTAATCGAAATGAATCCCATTTTTAAGCTACAAAACGAATTTATAAAACAAGTTTTATTATATATTCGAATATAAAGAAAAAGAACAAGAGTAAGCTTTAAATCTTACTAATTATTTTCATCTGCTTTATATTAATAATAACATTTGATTTTTTATTTAGAAACTTTTATTAATTATTTTCATTTGCTTTATATTAATAATAACATTTGATTTATTATTTAGAAACTTTTATTAATTATTTTCATTTGCTTTATATTAATAATAACATTTGATTTTTTATTTAGAAACTTTTACTAATTATTTAATGACAATTTAATTGTTTTAATAATTCAAATTATTCGTGTTTCGCATGTTTCGACTGTTAATACAATTTCATATAAAATAAAAATAAAAACACGTGGTAATATAATTGTTATATGTCAATATTACACGTAAAATATTATTTCAAATATTTGACGAATAATTGATAATTAATATAATAATTAACAAATAACTATATTAATGCATAGTATTAAATATTTTGTTGTGATTGTAATAGGAAATATTTGAAAGAACAGGGTGGCGTTTATCGGTCATAAATATTGAGCAAATCCAATACACACACACATTGAAACATATTAAAATTAAAATATTATAGTTCATTGATAGTAGTAGTAGTAGTTTTCGTTTAAAGAGTGATGGGTTCCCGTTTATTCTCACGATTATCATTTCAATCTCGTGAGATCGTGCACGTCCTCGTTAGTATTCAAGGTATTTTTATTTTCTTTTCTTTTCCTTTCTTTTATTTTGATTATACTTCATTAACGAGCATTTGCTGTGTTGAGCTCGAGCTTGTACCGATTAATTAATTGTAGATCTTAAGCTCTTTGTGTATCTGTGTTTGTAATGCGTTTGTATGAAGTATACGTGATGTGTCATATAAGGAAATGTGAAGCTGTTACATATATATATATATATATATATATATATATATATACACACACACATATACATATATTCATATATTTAAAACACATATGTTCTGTACAACATCTACGGCGTTACTCTCAAACTGAGAGAAGGAACTACGGAAACGTGCAAAAAGCTTGCTGACCTTGTCCCACTTCCGTCAAAGCTTTAGGAACGAGCTTACTCGTGTAAATGCAGTTCGTGCATACACACTGCTAACATAATCGGAGATAGTTTCACCTCTTGTTATTTTAAATAATAATAAACATTTCATTTATTATTTTACACAAACATTCAAACATATATATATATATATATATGTATATACAAAATTGATATTAATATTTTTAATTATCGAAAAAAGGTACACACTCCTTTATTACTTACGCGAGAGTTCAATTTCGAATTAATATTTCTGTATTTTTTTTTAATTTTTATTATTTTTTATTTTTTTTTATTGTCATTTCTTCTTCTTTTCTTTCCTTCTTTTTTTTTATTTCCTTTTTTTCTTTCTTTCTTTCTTTCTTTCTAGACACAATCGTACCCTCCAAGCGCAAAAAGCTTCTTCTTCTTCACGAAAGAAAAGACAAAAAAAAAAGAGAGAAATATTTTCTTAGCTTTCGCTAAGGGAAGGAAAATATTCTGATGTTCCCATTTTAATACAACACATACACACACACACACACATATACAGAAAGATGCAGGAGTATTGTCACATCGGTGATATTTTTTTTTTTTTTTTTTGACGAAGCTTTGGTCCGTTCATCTCTTCAAAGTAATCCTCTGCTCGGTGCGGAATAGAACAAAATAAAAAAATGTGAGAGAAAAAGAAGTAAAATCTTGATAAAACCAAGCTGTGAAGAAGAAGAAGAAGAAGAAGAAGAAGAAGAAGAAGAAGAAGACAGCTTGATGAAAAAATAAAAAGAAAATAAATAAATATTAAAAAGAGAAAGAGAGATATAAAATCGACAAACGGATTTTCTTCCAAAGTTTTCGGTTCGTTTACTTTTCTCATTTGTTTATGATCATTGTATATTTTGTTAAGCTTCTTTTCGAGCTACTTACCTCATTCAGAAAAAAAATTGAACAAAAATTAATCCAAATTATTCCTTTAAGAAAATGATATTAACCAAATTGTTTAATTCTAAATATCGGTTCTTTGTGTTTGTATACAAACAATTTGTTTTGTTTAAATACTGGATACATTTAAATATTATATAAAATTGTAATAATATAATACGAGAAAAAAATACAACTAAACTAAACTAGAAGAGAGAATATTTGAATGTTTCACGTTTGATAAGTTGAATTTTGAATTTCCTTTTAATTAAGTTCACCGGGCAGAGACGACATTGACACAGTTTCTGTTTCACAGTTGAGTCCGTGTCGTTGCAATTTTCTGGCTTTAAATCGTGCCTTTGCTCGTTTCCAAATGGAACTATCGAAGTTCAAGCTTAGGGATTTTCATCCTATGTTTCTCTCTCTCTCTCTCTCTCTCTCTCTCTCTATGTTTATGTTCCTATGTTTCAATGTGATTTAGTTTAAACAGCTGATTTCTCAAATGGATTTGTTCAAGTCGATGATACTACGTAATATCGTTAAGTTATATGTAATCATTTTTATATACATTTATATGTGGGTATGTGTGTGTGTGTGTGTATGTATATATGATATCTACAGATTACATTTATGTGTAATATTTTTCATAAATCGGAGATAATGACGTTTAAAGGTAGAGAAACTTGTTAAGAAAAAAAAAGAACAAAAATAAAGGCTAAGAATTGAGTAGTATATACGAGTATATGTATGTATGTATGTATGTTTGTATGTATGTATGAGTATCATAAAACATGCACCAATCTTTTTACGATACGGTGAAAGTCCAACGTGATAAGTAAGTTCGTATGTTACACACCTGTGGCCACACGTGCAACGAGCTGCTCGATCGATTTTATTCGCAAACGATATTTTCCGAATTTAATTGCAAACATTTTCTACTTTTTTTCATTTTTTTTTTTTTCATATAACCTAATAATATAATAATAACACAAATACTATATATATATTGTATATATATAAATTGTTTTGAGTTTTATTGTTATTTTTTATTTTTATACGTGAGATGCATTTGTATTTAAAAGTATTGGATAAAAAAGGAAAAAAAAATATAGAAAAAAAATAAAAAAAAAGGAAAGACTCTTATGGTTAGAGGTGAGTTTTAATTCGTGAAAATAAATTTGACATATCGAAAAACTTATGGATTAGTAGTAGAGAATATACGTGTAACGATGCATAGCACGAGCATGGAAATCCGATCGTATTGGGAATTCGATAGTTGCACGACCCGAATATATTGAGATACGATCTTATTTTTTTTTTCACTGTAAAATATCCAAACTTTTCTTTATAGCATTGGTAACAACAAGTAGTCATGTGGATAGGATGGATAGAATGGATCGTGTGTTTTTCATTGTGGTTAATTGAAGATTTTTTGATCAGATAATACCAATTGCATAAAGTTCTTTTTAACGTTAATTGGGACAACTCGTTTATAAAAATATCGTTTATAAATTTGATATATAAATTAATTATAAATTTAATATATAAATTTAATTTTAAAGTTATTAGTTTATAAATTTAATATGTAAATTAAATTATACAAATCTATAATTTTGAATTTATTGGTTTATAATTGGAATTTATTAGCTTATAATTTAAAATATATAAATATACAAAATATATTTTAAATATTTTATATATTAATATAATTAATATAATTTAATAAATATATAAAATATATTTTTTATATATTTAATATTCTTTATTTTCTTTTTTTATTCTAACGATTCACGTTGTGTCAGGATATGTTAGTAAACTGACGACCTTTTCGTCGTTTCCCGAATAACCGGATGAATTCGATTACGTTGCATTACGTTAACGCTATATCATCATGTTCATCATCTCGTGTCCTAGCTAAAGTGAAATTGCCTGTTTGCGAAGCTTAAAGTGAAATTCACCTAAGAGTATCGGTTTAATATTATTAATCTCTTTTTAAAAAGCATCAAATAGCACGTGGTAACAAATATCTTGATTTAACGAGCATAGATACATAAAATTGCATAATTAGATACACATATACACATTTACAAAAATTGCTTCTGCATAAGTGCAGTTAAGGTAAAGTATAAATTACGTAATTATATTATACATATATATATATATATATATATACATACACATAAAAAAAAAACTTGTTATGACCAATTGAACGATAAAACACACGAGTAACAGTAACCCAACTCGTTTCCCTTTCGATATTATCAAAGAGTTTCTGATTTTACAGCTTTCCTGTAATTTATTATAACCATCTGACACGCTTGACGAGTAACACAACCAGTCCCAACTTTGGGAAAAGTTCAATTTAATAAAGTAAAAGGTAAAATTATCGAGGCTAAAATATTCCCAGTTCTACTTTTTAATACGATTAACTTCTTTCCTCTCCCATATCCTATTCCCCTCCCATATCCTATTCCCCTCACCCTTCCAGTTTCCCCTTATACATCGTTGAAAAACTTTTGTAAGGGGAGAACGGTTAGTGAATGAAAAAAAAACAAACAAAATAAATTAAAAAAATTAATAAATTATTACAATTTTATTGTGAATACTAAAGTGAAACTATTCACCAAGTATCTCGTAAGGAAAAGTATATGTAAAGAATATAAAAAAAAATAATATATATATGTATATATAGGGTGGAAAAAAAAGAGATGAAAATAGTTGTACATTTCTTGGCGTTGTAACGAATGAATGAATGAATGATCGGTATGGTATCGTGGTAATCGGTGTGGTACAACAAATATACCAACTTTAATATCCATTAATTCTCTCTATTTTCACCCATTGAAAGATACAATCCTGAGAAAACTTCTTCATGTTTTCTTCTTCGGCACGCGAGAAGTATAATAAGTTAATTGGAAAATATACCTTGTGTGTGGGACTTCGTGATCGGCATTGTGCTAAAATCCTACTTCGCACATCATACTTGTTTTGCTCTCTTTCAAACGAAATGTTTTAATCAATTAGTAGTATATTACTCGTAATTAACCATTTTTCTTTTTTAGTTACAAGTCGGTAAGTCACATATTTTTTTTTATTATATTTTTTAATTGAACAATACAAGAAATATATTAACATTAACCCTTAGAGTGCTACGGATGCATATATGCGTTTAGTAAAAATGATCAGAGTGTTTTATCGAAACATATACGTGTTTGTTAATATTAATTTAAAATCATGTAAAATTTATTATTATTATTATTTTTATTATTATATTTAATAATAATAATATTAATTAATATTATATATATAATATATATTATAATATTATATTAATTATAAATAAATTAAATATTAATAAATATTATAATAATAATATTATAATATTATAAAATAATATAATAATAATAAGTATATAATATATATTATATATATTATTTGTTTTATATTATTCTATATTATATATATCATATACATAATAATATAAAATAATAAAAAAATAAAATAAATATAATATATATTATATACTTATTATTATTATTAAATTAATAATAATGTAAAATAATGTAATATTTATATTAATAAAATTAAATGAAACTCACAAAGAAAAATTTTAATTATTAAATATAATTTATTATTAAAATCTGATTAATAATAAATTATTCCGTTTCTATAAAACATTTTAGTTAAAAGTATTCAGCACTCAAAGAGTTAAATAATCCATCATTTCATTTTGGATAATTAGAGATCGGTTTGTTTTATATTGATTAATCGTTTTTAATATGACAGCCATGAGAAATCGATAAAGAAAAAATCCATATAGAAAGGTACAACAGGTGTATGTGCAGTTCGAGACCTCTTCTTCTTCCGTTAACATTTTGCGTAACTCAACAAAACAACCTCCTCCTCCTCCTCCTACGTTATTAAAACTTTCTCGGTTACAATTTAACCGTGTGCTTGCGATCAACTATCGTGAATCATCTATTTACAAATTTCTAACGCCATTTCTAAAACTTTCGATAGAATCTGAATAAACGCGTGGGTCTAGCTTTTACATGAATTTACAAATTTACAGGTTAAATTTTCATTAAACGTCGTTTAATTGAATTTTCAGCTGTAACGTTGCTCTTGTTACCTTTCTTTTAAATCCCACTGTATTACAAATAAATAAAAAAAAAATACAAACCAAGGACGCGTTCCAATCGAAGGAACGCAAATTTTTGAATAGAAATTTGTGTGTATATGTGTGTGTGTGTGTGTGTTTAACGTCACAAAAAAAATAAAAAAATCGTTTTGAAAAATCCAACTGGTTTATCTCTGGTCACGCTGAATGATTTTCTTCACAACGATAAAAATTGGTTTGGTTATTTTGAATTAATGAACTAGTTGATAAATAATACGGTTTATGTTAAATTCGCGTTAAATTTTAAAATAAAAAAAAAAAATAAAAAATAAAAGAAAAATAATTTTCTGATTCCTTTCACCAATAACCTTCTGTTATTAAAAACAGAACAGAACCCACGTACAAATTAAACTAACTTATGCATGAAACGAGTTACCTTTAATTGTGCGTTCAATTTTTCAAATACTAATTCTTTTCTTTTTCTTTTTTTTTTCTTTTTCTTTTTCTTTTTCTTTTTTTTTCTTAATAGTATCGGTTGTATCACGTTGCGGTTAGAGTTAACTGCTCGAGAAAATGACGTTTTACGCACGACTGAAAGGAAAAAAGAATACATTGTGAAAGGTTAAAGCAACGATTATGAAACATCGATCGATGCTAGTATATTATACGAATGTTGTACTTTTAAATTAATGTGAGTGTTCATGTGAATATACGTGTGTCTTTCGTTGAATATATACACCTATGTAAGATCATCGTACTTTGTTTTATTCGAATATCAAATGACGAATATTATTGAAGATTATTAACACATTTATTCTGTTGATAACAGATCGTTTAAGAATTTAATTGATCAATGCAAAATGCAGTATCTTCAATCAGAGAAAATTAATTAGAGTATTTTGGTAGCTTACGAATCCATAATTTATTGCAATATTCAATGTAAATCGGGCGCGGTTTTATCAATTTCGATATTTCAATCGACCGATAGTAGATTCAAATGATTTTCCTATAAAATCATATTAACCTGTTTTACATGTAACACGATTTTCTTATGTAATTGATATTAATTATCTAATAATTATTGGCAATTATAGATAGTAAAAGAAAAATATAAAAATAATAAAATATCAATAAAAAGTAATACAATAATAATAATTGTATATTAGAAATAAATACAGTACATTATATAATATAATATATTATTTTAATATATTAATAAATATATATAATAGTATATAAAAATAAATTTAATATTATATATAATATACTATTAATATATAAATAATAAAATACTAATAATAGTATAATACTATATTATATACTTAATAATATTTACATAATATAATATAATATAACTAATAATAGTAATAGAATAATAATAATAATTAACAGTATATTATATAATATATTATTTTAATATATAATAAATATATATA